ACAAATCTGACAAAGATCTGGCATACTTCAAAACTCTAAAGATCAATTTTCAGAAATGAAAATCAGTCAAACCGATGTTTGCAGCTAACGTCGATCAAGCTGATTTAGGCTTACGAGCAACATATAATTTATCTCAGCTAATTACAAAGGCAGCCAAACACCACGCTATTGGTGAGGACCTCACATTGCCTGCGATAAGAGAGGTGGTCAGCACAGTCCCGCAACGTGCCCCGGAGCCTGTGTTGAAAGTTCTCCCACTAAGTGACAATACCATTCAAAGACGTACTGATGAGATGTCAACAGATGTTGAGGAATCACAGTGCAAAATGCTGAAAGGACGTGAGCTCATCCTTAAACTGGATATCAGTTCATAGAAGGTGAGGAAATAATGCAAGAATTGTTATTTGCGAAAATGTTGGAAACAGATACCAAAGGCGAGTCCATTTTCAAAGTGGTCCAAGAATTTTTCGAGGAGTAACAGATCCCTCTGACCAATACAGTTGCCTGTGCAACAGATGGGGCACCGTCGATGGCAAGTCGGAAACGTGGATTTATGAACTTTTTGAAAAAATCAGTCCATGGAGTATTTACTGTTTACTGTGTCATTCACAGACAGAATTTGGTGGCAAAAAACCTGAATGAAAGTCTGCATGACATACTGGCCATTGCCATCAAGTGGGTGAACAAGATCAAAGCCCACGCTTTGAACTCGAGACTATTTCAACAGCTGTGCACTGAAAATGACGAGTACTTTCAATGCTTACTTTTGCACACTGAAGTCTGGTAGCTCTCGAAAGGAAACTGTTGAACACGATTATTGTTCTGCCTGTTTGACTCTGTGCTGGAGGGTATTTTTTCAAGAAACAGACAGTGATCTCTGCAATAAACTGAAAGAACACAAGAACAACATTGCGCTCCTCACAGATCTTTTCTCAAAGTTTAACCAGTTCAACATTCAGCTGCAGAGGGATAACACCAACCTGATCAAGGCTTTCGTCATTCTTGTCGAAATTGGAAATGATCCGCCGAAACATTGGCAGAAGAAAATTTCTCAGTTTCCTAGCTTGGCGGAGACACTGAAAGAAGGGCATGTTTCTGACGAGGAACTACAAATATATTTATAGCAACCACCTCAGAGATTTGCATGCTGATATGAAGACAAGGTTTAGCCTCCTGATATTTTTTTACTGGAAATTCCATACTGGATACTGGACCCATTGAACGCTGAAACAGATGATAACTTGCAAGGAGCAATTGAAGAAGAGCTTCTGACGATGAAATGTGACTTTGAAATCAAACCATTGTTCAAAAAGCCATACCAGCCATTCTAGTTGAAAACTGTTGTGCAAGACAAATATCCCTCCAAGTGGGAAAAGATCAAGTAGTTGTTCATCTCTTTCCTCGCCTCCTATCTAGTAGAAAGGGGATTCAATGCAGTGACAAGGTTGCTGACGAAGCGTAGCGATTTGCGTCAGCTACTGACCAATCTGAAACCTGATGTCGATAAGTTGGTTTCGTTTTAGCAGGTCCATCCTTCCCATTAGGGTAGTGTCAATAACTTATTTGCGCATGCTTACTCTGTAGTTTACCCTTACTTGATATCTCAATGTGTCTTTTCTTTTTTTTTCTTTTCTTCCTTTTTAAAAAAATCAAAACATTCACTTGTTTAACAGAGTTTTTTTATGTGCACATGCTGCCACTGCTGATGAAACTGATGATGATGATGGTGACGATTATGGTGATAATTACAGAGTACAATCCATGCATACTTTTTCTCTCGTGTGGTTTCTCACATTTGAACAACTTAATAATATTTTTATTTTCTACAATGGAGATACTTGATACAAATCTCAGGCCACTTCATTGCAGCACGTTGATGGGAGAAAACGTTTCATAAAGAAAATGTCAATCTGTTTTCAAACCAATGATCACAGGCGTTTTTATTTTTTTATTTTTTTTGGCGTTTTGCTTCTGTAAATGTGATAATACATGTTTTATTTTTATTGATGTTAATAACACTGGTCGTTTAGTACCGATGACAACTATAGGCATAAAGAAAATGACAGTATTTTGCTCTCAGTGCCCTTGCCTAAGATTGAAGAAAAATGTGTTTTATTTTCTCTCGTCCACGCTTAATTTAAGACTGTAAAGATGGTGATTTGTGACTCAACTAATATTCAGAACTAAATCATTAGAATTTAGGCACGTTACTTTCTACCCTGCTGTTTGAGCCCTCTCTTTATTTGTGATTGTTATTATATTACGCCTGTCGTTATGTCAGATTGATGATTGGGGCGGAGTAGGAGGCGCTGGGACTCGGCTGGGTGAAAAAGGGGGCGGTGGGCGAAAAAAGTTTGAAAACCACTGCCTTAGAGTATGCGCGTTGGAAAATGTTTTGTCCTTTGAAATAACGGGTCATGTATTTAAAAAGGGGAATAAACAAAGATTGTTCAAATGAATTGATTACTTCCCTATTTGAGATTTGGAAAAAACGTTCCCTCGGCAACCAGTGGTGACATCTATGATATTGCGTAACGTAATGCGCTTTCTAATGAAGCAACTAATCTAATAATATAACACCTTTGACAGTATCTACAATGGAAATGCAAATCAAAATCAGAGAAGTCTGAAAAGCAAATAATGACTTTTAAACAGTAATAAAAAGATACGAGCAGTCAGACTAGAAAAAGACGAATAAAAAAAGACCCAGAAAAATAAAGAACTAAAGAGTTGAATGTGCGATGTCCACTTATTTTTACTTCAATTATACAACCAGAGTTCGAAATGTAATTATGGATGCAATGAACATCCAAGAACCACTTTGCAAAATTTCATGTATCACCAAAAGAACACTTGGATGCCCACTGGTAGCCAGATTCAAAACATTGTTCAATATAATTTGTGAAAATAAGTCTAAATACCTTGAATGAGTAGACAAACGAGAAGAGAAAAGACACTGCAAAAGCGTTTAGTCATCAAAAAATTGTACACACTACAAACAGATTTACACTAACCATTTTAATGGGAAATATTTTAACGGTTTCAAAAAATAGTATGATAACAAAGGAGTAGGCCTAAGCCGGACTGAAGAATTTCTTTTATTAAAGAATAGATCTACTTTTTGCCACATATACGTCACCGACACGTCTATATTATAAGAAAAGCATAAACATACTAGTATCATGAAGACGTAAACATAATATTAATATATCAACTTTTCTTGGGGGGGGGGGGCAAATTTAGGCTAGAACCCACTCAATAAATTACATTCTCTTTTTAAAAAACAAGTGTGCATTTTTTCATTGTAAAGTAACAGGGGAGAAAATGGCACTCGAAACTTTGGTCTACTTTATGGCAATTAACAATACGTGATTAAAGAGAAGGGACTGAGAGATGTACATTATGTAGTTCGTCGAACACGTTGCTATATATGGTTAATCAGCAGCAGAAATGCCGCCATTTTGCTTCTTCTTGGATTGTTAATTATGTTCCTGAATTGGAGCATTTTTCGGATTTATTGTGATGATGTCCACAAACGTTCAAACAATCTACATATCAACTTAAAACGTTTCTCCAAAGCAATATTGCAACAGGTAACGGTCACTCTCAATTACTCGAAGCACCTGCTATAACAATTACAATGTATGAGCTGTATGGCGTTGATAAAATGCGCTTTTATAAGTTTCGAGCACGAAGGAACAAATGGTCACTTCTGGACCTGGAGCTGATAGCAAGGGGAAGCAAATGGAGAATCGTGTAAGAAATACGAAGAGTACTCGGGGGTTGGGTGGGGGGGTGTGAATAATAGTAAATGGAAATTCGTTGAAAAGTTGTACTTTGATCAAAACAACCCTTGGAGTAACTCGGACAAAGTGGGCTGCTTCAAATTAAAAACCAGCACTGTAGACATCGAATGCATTTTTTTCAAAAGGTTATGCACCACATCCGATCCCAACAGAATCTGCTGGAAGATAGAATTATTTCATTTGAATGGTAGACAGTTGTATCTCTTTATAACTGAAGACTGTTGAAGAATGTCAGTGTTTTGGAACTCATCCTCCTGTGAACCCTCCGTATTCTTCTCAGATGTCAATACAGATTAGGACTGAAAGATTAGGAAAGAAGAAAAAGAAGAAGAAGAAGAAGAAGAAGAAGAAGAAGAAGAAGAAGAAGAAGAAGAAGAAGAAGAAGAAGAAGAAGAAGAAGAAGA